CTTTTCTTTCTTTCTTCCTTTCAACTTCAGACCTTACCAAAGTTGATTAGAATTTCTACAGCTTTTGTAAAGGAGAGCAGTAATTTCAGTCATTATTTTTCTGGAATTGTGTGTTCTTAGTGGCAGCTTTTTGCCTTTCCAAAATTAAAAGTTGTTTTTTTTTTTTTAAACCAGCTCTTGCTTTTACATGATAACAAACCTCAAGCTCTGCCAGCAATCACAGCCCTCATTTTATTAAAGCGTTTTTCACTTTGTGATGAGGAGATCTGTTAATGATGGAATCTCCATGCCTAATGGAAGGCTCTTTCCTGAATTAGCTTTGATTGACTTCCTGGCTGGAGTCTACAGACGGAAATTTGCTCCCCACATCCTTGCAGGCAGCCAGGGGTGATGCTCTGAGGAACTGTGCTTGGCTGACTTGGGAGCCCCTGGAAGGCAACGCTGGGCCCCGAGGGAGCAAGAGGAGCAGAGGAATGACAGGGGAGCAGAGGAACGACGGCACACGAGGATCTCCTGCGGGCATTTCAGGAACAGCAGCGCAGGTCTGACCAGGAAAAATTACTGCGTCAAGTAAATGAGCAGAAGAGCCTCCCCCAGGCAAAGGTGTTGCTCCCACGTAATGAGCTTTGTAAAAAATAGAAAGGAAGCGATTCTATTTCAGGTTTTCATCGGCGTCCTGGGCTGTGTGAGGGAGAGTGGGGTGGTGCCAGAGGATGGACACGCTGGAGTTATTCCCAAGAGGGATCTACAGCAGAGTTATCAGACTCAGCAGGGCAATGGAAATGAGAAAGATTAGATTTCCCTGGAGGGAAATCTTTTGGGTGTATCAGGATATTTTAAAGGCTTAAGACTATTTCTTAGGCTAATGCAGATGAAGTTTAATGTGCCCCCAAGAAGGAGATCCAGCTTTTCACGTTACTGCAAATACTCCCTGAATCACCAGCTGTTTTCACATTCAAGAGACTTCCTTGGGGACTCAATGACCCAGACACAAAGTCTCAAACCCCAAAGTCCCTGCTGATGCCCAGGCACAGGAGGGCCAGGAGAGGAGCTGGAGCAGGCACTGCCAGTAGCCTCCAGCCTGGCCAGGGAGAGGCTCCTCCAGAGGCAGCCGAGCTCCTCTCTGCTCAGTGTCAGCTGAATTTCCATGTTACACCTATGGAAAATCCTGCTGTTCTCAATTTACAAAGTATTTACAAAATATTTACAAGGGATTTGCTTATCTGGCTGGTGATTTACCAGTCATGCCACTTTCTGTCAGCCTGTTATTGGCTGTACTGATGCTGATCTCCATCGTGCTGGTGACACCAGCTGCTCCAGGGTCTGATCCCAGCTTTGCAAGTCATTCCAGGCAAATCGTTCAGCTCCTCCAAGTCTCAATTTCATGCTTTGTGGGATGGAAACAACAATAACAACTATCCTCTTCCTTGAGGGCATTGTAAAAACAACTGTCTGAGGAGCACAAGGGGCTTCAGAGATTGGAAAGATGACATTTAATTCAGTATTATTCATTGTCCGTGTTCTTGCTCGTTATATTACTCTTGACACAGGCACATCCCATAGATTTTTCTCTGTGTCTCCATCATGAAATACCTTTCAAGGACATTCATAGTTTCCATTTCTTGTTTTGTTGGCCAAAAAGTTTCACCATCATTCACTGAGGACTTGCCTCTGTAACTCCCAGCTGAATCCTAACAAGTCTTTTCTTCTTGTCCTTGAAGCTTACAGCAAGTCTGAAAAATTCTCTCCAAAACCAGTGTTTGTCCATCTCTTGGAGAGACAATTCGTCCATGTTTCACAGACACAGATGTGTGTAGCAAAGAGTAAATAACAAGCAATATATTACCTTATAGTTCTGTGGTATTTTCCTTCTTCAGAGCACTGTAATGTCACACAGAGATCACTTGTGCTGGGCTTGGACTTTGCTCTTGCCTGTGATAGCAGGGTTACACTGAGCTGTATGCAGAATTAAACCCTTTTTCATTGATGCAAATATATGTTGATGAATATCCCCTGATAAGATCCTCCCAGGGGAACTGAACCCACTGATTAGAAACCAGGCTCTTCCACCAGCTCTCCTCAGGATTTCATCTCAGGCTGTTCCTGCTGACAGATGTAAATGTCTCAGCATGGGGTGACAGATACCAGAGATGAGTGAGGGTTCAGCTGGATCAATCTCTCCCCTGTGCCCTTTTGGCTGCAGAAGGGGCCACATCTCTCTGTGCTGCCAGCAGAGCTCGGACTGGTGTCTGCTTTTAGCCTCCTACTTATATTTAATCAGTTATATTTGTGGTTTGCAGAAAGCTTTTCTGTATTCATGCACTTGGGACATTCTCCAGATGGTTCAAGACTTAAAAAGCCATTTACAAGTCAATTATAACAATTCTCGTCTGATGACAAAAAAAATAAAAAAGCACATGAGCAGTTTGCTCAGGATTTCACAGACTGTCTTTGCCTGCTGCCAGAGAGTCTGAGACAGCTTGAGGCTCAGGTACGTTTTTCCTTGATCTGGTTTTCATTTCTGAGATAGCTCTGGTTTGCTTGGCCTGGAAGACTTTCTCCAAGGAAGGTCTGTCATTCCAGCAGAGGGAGAAGCACAAAACAGTCTGTGAACTTTGCCCTCTGATGTGTCTCGTTTCCTGCCCTTTTCTCTAACTGCTGAACGATGATACAGAGTGATAAAATCTCACACTCCCTTCTCTGGAAACACCTGGCAGGTTCCCCACTTCTTCGATCTCTTTTCCTCTCCTTTGCCTGTCCTGTCATGCCCAGCGTGACATCATCAGCTCTTCCCAAACCTGCTGGGGCCAGGGAGCACCCTGGGGAGTGCTCAGTGGGACTGTCAACATAAATATACCAAAATTCACCTCAAAGTTCACCCAAATTCACCTCAAAATTATCCCAAAATTATCCCCCAAAACGGCAAAATTCACCAAAAATTCACCTCAAAATTCACCTTAAAGTTCACCCAAATTATGCCCTGGGGAGACTGAGGAAGAATGAATCACCCAAAGGATGGGTGAGCTGAGCCTCAGCTGCAGGAGCCTCTTGTCCATAGTTATAAGGGAAGCTGATTTAATACAAACTGTTCCCTCTGCCTTTGACCTGAGCCCCAGATCTGTATCCTTGAGGTGTGGGATGAACACAAGCCGATGCACAGGGCTCCCAGCTACCACGGACTAGAAAGCATAAAGTTGGATCGAAGCGATTCCATCATGCTTTTGGCTCTAAAGCAATTTCCTCTCCTCCCTGGCCCTGCCTCAGTCACTCTCCAGGCGAGTGGGCACAGGCACAGCAGGAGCTGCTGCTGCCCAACTGCGTCACTAATCCTGAGCGGCAGCTCAGCCTCAGGCGTCCTTTCTACCTGGCGTGTTTCAGGAAGGGTTTTAGCAGTGATCTGCTACACACGACAGTGATAAAAATTATTGCTACTCATCCCTGTGCAGATTAAGCAATGGTTACTTTAGTTCCTCTTAAGCACAGCCCTGGGGCAGCATGAATAGCCTTGTGAAACATTTTTGTGCCTGATAGTGAGATTTAAAGACAGTCAAAAGAGACAGCAGGCCTGTAGGGATGAGGTTTTGCCAACCAGGCGGACCCTGGGCTCATGTCTCAAAGACAACACCTGACAGCAGCAGTCTTGCTGAAGCCATCTAAGTTCACCTTACAGGAAAATGTGACTTTTTATGATCCCATGAGTTAGAGAACTGAGCTTTATTTTGTTGGCTTTAATTATCAGTCGCGTGGCGCATTGACCTCAAACCTCAGCTTATGTCTTAGCCATGTATTTACAAGCACTGAGTTCATTAGAAAAAGCTGTCTCCAATTATGCTTGTCCCAGGCAGAACCACTGTCCTTTCAGGAGGAACCCACGTCCATCTATTCCCCTCCTCTCACTGGCTTCTTGTGGTTTCTTAGGACTTTCCCTGGCATGAGCATAGAACCCAGAGGCTTTGAGGGATCACATGTCAGCGACAGACAAGTCTGCAGTTGCACGAGCGAGGAGAAAAAGCTTTATTAAATGTGTCCACAGACACCCGCATGGAATGAGGGCAACACAGGCAGGAGGAGCAGGTGAAGGGAGCGTTCTGGGACACAACCCGACCATGCATGGCCTCGGGCACTTCTTGGCTCAGTTCACTGCTCCCCTGAGCCAGGGGCTGTCCTAGCGAGTGGTGAGTGCGACCTGCTCGCGGGAGGAGACCACCTTCCCGTCCTGCACCTCCTCCACGATCGTGCGCACCTGGCGGGATGATGTCATGACTGCAAAGGAAAGGGGGACAATTATTCACGGCAGGAAGGAGAGAAATTGCTTAAAACATTATCTGATATGGCACATTCTTCAAGAGCTGGTGGAAATTCCACAAGGGAGTGGAAAACGCTGCTTTAAACAGCACTGCTTTGACTGGGAAGGGGAGAGAACCAGGGGAAAGGTGGGTTCTTACCATCTCTGCCAGAGTGTGAGGACATGGCGGAGGAGTACTGGGAGGAGATGCTACAAGAGAAGCACAAAACCAAAGAGATGTTAGGGACAAACATTGGTTGTTTCTGCTACACAGTTTCAGTGTCCAGGCAGGAGAAAACCAGAGAGAAGGCTCATGGAGATAAAAGTGTTGCTCCACTTGGCCTCTCCTGAGGGAAGAGGAACCATGGCCTTTCCAGCAAGGAAAAGGACCCAGTGCAGCATCCCACTAGAGCCAGACACCAGAGACAGAGCACTGAGCATCCACAGCTGGTGTGAACAGAGAAACCAGCCCTGAAAGCTGTGATTGGGCTGGGCATTTCGTGACTATGACCCATTTGCTCCCAACCACCCTCCCAGCAAAGCCCCTCACTCACTGAGCGTCCTCGCCCTCCAGCAGCCGGCGGTACGTGGCGATCTCCTGCTCCAGGCGGCTCTTGACGTCCAGCAGGGCTCTGTACTCGTGGTTCTGGCGCTCCATGTCACAGCGCAGCTCGGCCAGCTGCTCCTCCACGCCGGTGATCAGCATCTGCAGCTGGGCCAGCTGGGTGCCGTAGCGCGCCTCGGTGTCGGCCAGGGTGCCCTCCAGAGCTGCTTTCTGCGGGACGGGCACGGGGATGGGCTCAGGAGGGTGGGCAGGGTGGGCACAGCCCTGCACCCCAGCCCTGCCGGCAGCCCAGCCCTCGTACCGTGCTGAGCTGTGACTGCAGGTCGATCTCCAGGCTCTGGATCGTGCGCCGCAGCTCCGTGATCTCCGTCTTGCCGCTCTGCAGCTGCTCCGTGTTGATGGCCACCTCCCGGTTCAGCTCTTCCGTCTGCAGAGAGGCAAAGCCGTGCCCTCAGAGCCCCGGCAGCGGCCACAGCCCTGGCCCAGTGCCTGCTGCTCGCTGCCAGCTCCTCACCTTGCTGAAGAACCACTGCTCGGCGTCCCTGCGGTTCTTCTCGGCCAGGCTCTCGTACTGCTCCCGCATCTCCGCCAGGATCTTGGTGAGGTCGATGCCAGGAGCAGCGTCCATCTCCACGCTGATCTCCCCACCCACCTGACCACGCAGGGCAGTCATTTCCTGATACAAAAAAGAGATATAACACATTAGAGTGACATGGCATCTTCCCATGGTGAGAAATTTCTTATTTGCTCCCAGCACAGGAGCCCCACAGACCTCCTGGAGGTCCTGCATGCAGGGATTATTTCTTTCCCCCTTCCTGCTCGAGTGTTTCCTGACAGCCCTCATTGCAGACACTCCTGTGTGTCTGGCCTGACTGTTTCCCTGGTGCACAAGGAATGTTTGTAGGTGCCAATTTGAGCCCAACTCTGTGCTCACCTCCTCGTGGTTCTTCTTCAGATAAGCCAGCTCCTCCTTCAGGTTCTCAATCTGCATCTCCAGGTCGGCTCTGGACAGGGTCAGCTCATCCAGGACCCGGCGCAGGCCGTTGATGTCGGCCTCCACACTCATGCGCAGAGCCTGCTCCGACTCAAACCTGGGGACACACACACAGTTGCATACACCCCCCAATACAGCATTTTTCTTGTCTTTTCCTTCCCCAGCTCAATGTATTTTTGCCAAGAATCTTTAATTCCATGTGTGTGCACAGCTCTCATAGTGCAGAAATACCAGTGCTGTGCCCAGGAAGAGATGAACTATTCCAAAATGTCTCACTCCAGTGGAGCAACCCCAGGTGCAGAAAAGAAGCACCTTGAACAGACAGGCTTTCCCCCTTTTTTCACAAAAGCTCTTGGAGGCATTGGACTCACTTGGTTCGGAAGTCATCTGCTGCCAGCCTGGCATTGTCAATCTGCAGGACGATGTTGGCATTTTCAACAGTTGCAGAAAGAATCTGATGGGGGATAAATGAAAGAGTTAAAAAGTTGCTTCAAACACTCCGAGTGATCCCATCCAGGGAAGGACTGGAGCAGCACTGGACCTCCTGCCCATGGGGCTGGACTTCCATGTGGGCTCTGCAAAGAGGGAGATGGGGTGCTCGTTTCCACCTGCCATCAGCACAGACTCAGTCCCTTGGGAACACTGCCAGGGGCACATGGCCCTGCCCAGGTGGCACCTCCAGGTGTTCACACCATACTGAGACCTGGCACCACTCCAGGCTTTGGGAATGGGAGCAGCCCAGCAAAGAAGGAAAAAAGGGTTGAGGAAGGAAGGAGTGCCTTGTGCCTGCCTCATTTGGCTTCCGTAATTACACCTGAGGTGCAAGTATTTGCTCTGAGATTATGAAAATGATTGGCCATTTAATGAGCAGGAATTTCTGTAGCCACGAGCTAATGAAGACGTTCTCCTGCTTCAGGGGATATCCAAGGAATAATCCAGGAATATTGATGTGGTCATTTCCCAGCTGAGGGGGGAGAGGGAAGGAAGGATCTGCCTTCCCCTGGATCAGGAGCAGAAGGTTTCTGTGAGACTCAGCATTTCATCACTCAAATCCAGAGACAGCTCCTGCCTCCAGATGTTTCTGTGCTCCATCAGAGCACACCGACATGCTGGAATCTGCAGAGGAGCTTCCTGCATCAAGGCAAGCCCTTTCCCCCAGGGTGAAGCCCAAGAAATTTTAGGAATGTGAGTTCCCCCAGGGGCTGACCCTGCCCCATTTCCCAGGAATTTACTCTTACAGACCAGGTATGTCATTGCTCAACACCCCAGCCCACACTTCATTCCTTCAGTGAACCTGAGCTCACAGTGGGATGAGTGATAAGGGCTAGGGGGGGCAAGCAATAGCAGGGCAGGGAGGGATGGGCAGATTCTGGTGTTTTGGCCAATGGACTTTAGTTTAAAATCATCCAGGGAGCTGCTAAGAACAAAGAAATTACCTTGGCCATTATTTCATCTGCTGTATTTCAGAGCAGGGCACATACCTGATTTTAGCACCTACCACAGCCCAGTGTGTTCCAACAGCCATCCCATGGGACTGTTTCTTTACATTTTAACCTCTACCTTTAGCTTCCTCGAATGGTAGGGGAAAAAATCTGATTTGTAGGATATTTGTGAGAATGACTATTCATCTCCATCTGCATATCACTCACCAGTGAACAGGGCCAGGAGATAACAAGTCCCTGCCTGCTGAGAGCTCCATCAGGAGCTTAACAGAGAGCAACTATGGGGCACAAGTAATGAGGAAGGCAGGATGTGACACTGTGGCAGCAAGTAGCATCAAGTAACCTGAATCACTGTCTGACTCCTTTCCTGTCCCATATTTCTCCCTACACTGGAACAGTCAACAAAACCCCATTCTGGTCCCTGGTGACCTGCTGTTCATAGTGACTGTTATTCCAAAGCTCTGGTTTTCATTTCAGACTAATTACCTATTTGATAAGCCTCTTCCCTCCAGTTGTTTGGAACAAGGGCATCTTTTTACAAGTGACTCTGATGAAGATGTCACGTTAATCCCAGCATCCTACCTTGTTCCTGAGCTCCTCGATAGTCCTGTAGTAGGGGCTGTAGTCACGGTCAGGACCAGGCGCCTGCTTCTTGTACC